AGATCGCCCATCGCGACGTGGCCGCCCGGAACGTCCTGGTCACTCGGGACCACGTCGCCAAGCTGGCGGACTTCGGGCTGGCGCGAGACGTCTACGCCACGACTCAGTACGTGTCGACTCCGGGACAAGGCGACGGCGCCCTGCTGCCTGTCAAGTGGATGGCGCTGGAGTCGTTGGAGCTCGGGGAGTTCAGCTGCCGCAGCGACGTGTGGTCGTTCGGCGTGCTGCTGTGGGAGATCGCGTCGCTAGGGGGCGTGCCGCAGTACGGGGACCAGGCGCGGCTGACTGGGCCGGTCCTGATCGGGATCCTGAGGCGCGGAGTCCGGCTGGAGAAGCCGCCGCGCTGCGAGGACCGGCTGTACGCGGTGATGAGGTCGTGTTGGCGGGACGATCCGGAGGCGAGACCCGATCCGGATGGTCTGGAGAGGAGGCTGGAATATCTTCGGCAGACGCTCGACCCCAATTTTGTCATGGAAATGGAGACTGTGGTCTGATCCTTACTGTAAACAGGAATGAAGTACTTAGTTGTAAAGTTGAAGGTTTGTTCCAACACAGGAAAGGAACTCGCCATAATTTTTCGGCTGATTCGGTCTGACAAAGTTTGACCGAACGACAGAACAACTGTTTGACCAGATCGACCGAAAATTTATGGCGAGTTCCTTTGTTGTGTTGGAAAAAAACTTGAACTTTACAACTATTCCACTAGACTGTGGTCTGAACCTTACTGTAAACAGGAATGAAGTACTTAGTTGTAAAGTTGAAGGTTTGTTGCAAGAAAGGAACTCACCATAATTTTTTCGGCCGATTCGGTCTGACAAAGTTTGATCGAACGACAGAACAACTCTTTGACCAGATCGACCGAAAATTTATGGCGAGTTCCTTTGTTGTGTTGGCAAAAAAACTTGAACTTTACAATTATGGATTCGACTAGACTGTGGTCTGAACCTTACTGTAAACAGGAATGAAGTACTTAGTTGTAAAGTTGAAGGTTTGTTCCAACACAAGAAAGGAACTCACCATAATTTTTTCGGCCGATTCGGTCTGACAAAGCTTGACCGAACGACTCTTTGACTAGATCGACCGAAAATTTATGGCGAGTTCCTTTCTTGTTGGAACAAAACTTGAACTTTACAATTATGGATTCGACTAGACTGTGGTCTGAACCTTACTGTAAGCAAAACATAAGAACACAAAATAAATGAATGATTATGATTCTTACACGCTGACATCGATAATTATAAGTAAACGTATATAATACATGTAATACATGTAGTAAGTTAACAGGTCTGTCCTTGGTGCTGAACGCTTTCAGTTTGATTCTTATAGCAAGTACATGTAAAAGTATGTCGATAAGGAAGTTTAGTATGATCCGTTTAGTTTGATAAAAACCCGCACTTAAGAATCGTTTTTCGTACATGATGTACATACAATATTTATAATGACGTTTTAACGTAAGCAAATACAACATACTTTGATTTTACCCTATATTACTAAGAATATACATTATCTTCATAAACCTTAACTTGTTGACCTGAACTAGCTGGCTTACGTATGCTTGGCTAATGAAAAAACCTCGTGCTTCTGATTCCATTCAATCCGGTCTTTCTAGCCTCTACCAGGCTTCGGGAGACGGCTGGAGAGAGTAGAAATTGGTAAAACTGGGTGATAACATGCCAGGGGAGTTGGTCTGCTGGACAGAACAGTTTGCCAACTCCCCTCGCATGCTATCTCTTTACTTGTCCGATTTCTACTCTTTCTAGCCACCTCGCACAGTCTTTCCACATATACAATCTTGTCCATTAAAATATCTTGCGGAAAAAAATAGGACAAATAAATATGACTAAATCAGAGTTTTGTTCCAAGGTGTTTATTGCACTTGTGTTTTTTTCCGTCGGTGGATGAACTGTATGTACACCAACTACTTATCTTGAAAGTTGATCTGTGTTGGTAGAAGTCATTATGCAGCAAGTTTAAACTGTAATTTCCAACATGAGAAATTGGACTCGCCCAAATTTTTGACTGTAAAACTCCAGTCTTTGTCAAGGAATGAACAAAGTAAGAATCCTGGACTCAGAACCGGATTTCTTTGCACGAGGGATTAAAGAGTCCAATTTCTTGTGTTGGAAATTACAGTTTAAACTTGCTGCATAATACACCAACTACTGATAGCTTTACATGTCAATCCCGCTGGAATTGTGTAGTCTCAACTGCCCAACTCTCTCCGATATACTACCCTCTACCAGGCTTCGGGAGGCGGCTGGAAAGAGTAGAAATCGGTCAAATTGAGAGATAAAATGCCAGGGGAGTAAAACTGTACTCTCTACTCAAGCTTTCTCTCTATTTCGCCAATTTCTACTCTTTCCAACTGCATCCTGAAGCCTGGTAGAGGCTACCAATGTACCACACAGAGAGCCATGGACTGGCCATGGCTTTAGCTGTAGAACTGTAGCCTCAAACCCAGGCACATAGAGAGGCTGGTACACAAGTGACTGAGAAGGCTGCTTGCTGTTGTCCAATGGAAAAATGTGAGGCTAACTCTACATCAGAACTGTAGCCTTGCTCTGCGTAAAATGTTGAACGCAGAGTTTAAAACAAGGTATCGACTAGCCATCCTCATATGCCCGCGTTCTGAGGCTACAGAATTGGTAAAGTAATGTTGTTTCCAGAGGCAAGAAAATCACTGTTCAGTAATAAGAAACATAATTAGAATTTCTGAACACCGAGTTGCCATTTCATAACAAACAGCATAGCATATACTGTCAACCACAGACTTAGATTGAATAAGTCTGAGACCTTAAATGTTGAAGAGAAAAGCCTGCTTGAATGAATGTAAGCTCTGAAGTTTCCAGGTTCATTTGCTGATTTTTTTTCCTTCCAACAAACTTGGCAATAATATCCTTTCATCAAATCACTGTGCCCTAAACCAAAAATGTTGGAAAAGACCTCGATGATTCAAGAAAAACTGCAGAACAACCAGAGTTTAACTCATGCAGCTATGTAGACCACATTGGTCGCAAAAGTCTACAAAAATTTGATACTTCTTAATAAAAAAAAAAGAAAGGAACTTAACCAAAGGGGTAACGAGTACAAATATAAGTTTTTCTCATACCCAGTCACAGGGACTAAATATGTGTCTCTGTCTCTATGTAAGTATGTTAGGTTTTCTAGTACTTATTTACAATACAAAGTCCAATATTTTGTTCAAAATCGGTAAAAAGATATGATGTGACTGTGGAACTTGAGAAGAATTGTTCTAAGCGCTGGTATAATTTTCCACATTTGAACATTTATAACTTTCCAGTATAGTATACCTCGACAAAAAGAGTTTCTTTCTACCCCAAAAAAGTTTAACCAAAACAATCCAGGTTGGGGTTATCAAGTTGAATCATACAAATGAGAACCTTAGAACCAACAGTCATAAAAAACATCCCTGAATTAAACCCAACGTCTAACATTTAAATGTTTACATTAGCTGTAAACTATCCAGAGACACCTAAAGTTGTCTGAATAAGTAATAAATACAGTAGAAGATGAAAATAATACTTTTCTGGTAAAGAAAACTGCACAGAAAGACCTCAATGCTTTTGGTGGGTATTAACCGTTACCACTTCAACAAAGAAAAAGTTAACTAGTATTCAAGTGATAGAAGTGGATTGTAAACTTAAGACACAACCTGGTGCAACGGTGTATCGTTTTAGCAAAAAATAGCCAGAGACATATCTCTTTACCTTAAATACACCAGACATCAAAGTATCACTCTTTTTAACTTAAAATAACCTGAATGGTAGGCAGTGAAAAAGTACTCTGGTGTCTCAACAGCAAAATAACTGTAGCCAAGTTAGTCTCCGACATACTGCAAAATGGACTTGGAGGGAATAGTTTTACTTTATAGCATAATTATACCACATTCCAAAAAACAATTAGTTTAACTCCAAGTTCAACATTCCTCTTGTCCCATACCCATCTTTTATCTTGTAAAAACAAGAACAGAAAAACAACAGAATTTTGTGTGAGATTCTTTACGTAACTGTTGAAAACTAAAACAGATAATTTTATAGTATCTTTGTGGGGTGGGTTATTTTTTGACTATCTGAAACTCAGGAGACCCCAAAGTGAAAGACTCTCAAAAGGCCTTCCCTTGTGACTGTATAATTTCCCAATAATTCTATCTTATCCTCCTGGAATGGTCTGTGCCAAAGCATAGGTAGACACATAGCCTGAAATGAAGCTAGAAGCTAGCCCTGGATTCGCACTCTCAGATTCACAATTGAAGCCCTGGATTCGCACTCTCAGATTCGCAATCTTAGATGGCACCAGCCTTCTTAGAAGTGCAAATTTGAGAACAAATTACCAAATTGTGGAGTGAACGTTTTTTAAGTAAATCCCTCCATTTGGAATCAGTACCTTGAAGCTAGGTTTGGGCAAACTAAGAAGCGATTTGGTTGAGTTTCAAAACAGTTGATCGGATAGCCCAACACACAAGCACCTAGCCTCTACCAGGCTTCAGGAGGCGGTTGGAAAGAGTAGAAATTGGCCAAAAGAGAGAGATAACATGCCAGGGAAGTTGGTCCACCCGGGTGCGGCAAACTGTGCTCTCTAGCAGACCAACTCCACTGGCACGCACGCTATCTCGCCAATTTCTACTCTTTTCAGCCGCCTCCTGAAGCCTGGTAGAGGCTAAAGAGCACCGACACATGTGACAGCTTGTGAGGATGAGAGAAAGAGATGCACAGCGAGAAAACGTGAGGTAGAAATACACAACAGTGGGAGAGAGAGAGAGCTCTGTGCTCGCTGACATTATATAGTAGAGGGGATTCATTCCTCAAGCTAACCGACATCTTGCACACGCAGTCCTCCCTCAGTAAGACACCTGAAGCCGCGTAGTTCCCGTTTAGAACTTTTATTCAGCCTGTCACACTATGCACTAGAAAGGTATATAAGTGAGAACTTCGTGCACTTGTGTCATTAGCCTCTGTACACTTGAAGAAGCCACACAGGCAAAACCGGTCGTTTGACAGGCTGAATAAAAGTTCTAAACGGTAACTATGCAGCTCTAACTGTCTTGCTGAGGGACGACTGCGTGTGCAAGATGTCCGTAGCTTGAGGAATGAATCCCCCCCTACTATATACAGTGTGACATTGTTACTGCACCGCTTATTTACACCGGCCCACCACAGGGAAAACAGAGCAAGATCCTGGACAGACACCAGAATATTGCTTGGCACAATTGCGGGGGTAAACATACCACAAAAAAAAACAACTGCAGTACTGCGTAACGTAGGCATTATTGCATCTTCTGTATGTTATACATAACAATTGGTCTTCAACTCTACAAAATAACGTAACTAAAGTAACAGGCAGTAACAAAAATGATGCACAACGGACATCTAACATTAGCCTCTACTAGGCTTTGGGAGGCAACTGGTAATATAGTACAAATCGGCCAAATACAGAGATGACATGCCAGATCAAATGATTTGTACTCTCCCAGCAGACCAACTCCACTGGCATGTTTTCTGTCTATTTGGCCAATTTCTACTCTTTCCAGCCGCCTCTCGAAGCCTCGTAGAGGCTAACCGAACATGGCAGTGAATAACAATCATATGACATTCTCAATTGTCAGTACATTTGTATGTTAAACTCGTCTATACAAATGTTATTTTCCTAGCGTCGAAATGGCCCGTCTTGTCCTGATTTCCCTGCATGTAGCGCACGCAACTCTTGACAACACACGCGAAGAAGGCCTTCGTCACATGACCCGCTCCTTCTCTTTCCTTTCTCTGTCCTGTTCCTGTACGTCGAAGTCCAACACCAACAGTTTCGTTTCCTCCGTCCCGTTCCTGCTCCCCACCGCGCAAACCAGTTTCGTGTTCGAGCAGCGGACCCTCCAAACCACGCCACCGCTGCCTCCGCTGTCTAACGTGACCAGGTTCCGCACAAACTCTCCCGTCTTCAGGTCCCAGATTTTGACGGTGCCATCGTCCGAGCTCGTGATGACAAACTTCTTGTTGAACTGCAGGCACGTCACCGCGCTCTGGTGCTTGTTGGGCCCTGGAAAAGGAGATACATTTTTTTGTGGTCAGCGAATTGTAGTTTTAGCAGTTATTTAAGATCAAAAAATACCACAGACTTGGTACAAGAGTTAGTGCTGAGATTTTTTTGTGGTCAATGAATTTTGGTTTCAAAAGCAATTGAAGCTGAAACAATGTTACAGACTTGTTACACAAAGTGGTGTGAAACTTCGAGAACTGTGTAATCCAATCATAACTGTGATAAATGACGTAACAACTCTTTTCTCCACTACACTATTCGTCTCTGTACAACAAACAAATGCAGAGTCCTAGACCTAGCATTTTTGTGTTCCTGTCCAGTTTTGTATTCGTACTTGTACATGTATATGCATACTGCAATTCACTTTATGTTCACGGTAGCAAAATTTCATGGTCTGAGAAAAATGGACATGTTGATTCAAGATTCAAATGAAGATTGAAGATCCCACCTTGTAATGTCTGTAGACACTGTCCCGTGGTGATGTCCCAGATCTTGACGGTGGAGTCGGCGTTACCCGACACCAGGATGTTGTCTCGTAGCTCCATCCCGCTGGTGAGAGACTGGTGACCGATCAGCGTGTGCAGGCAGTTCCCCGAGTCCACGTCCCAAACGCGTATAGACGTGTCCAGTGAACCACTCACTATATGTGTGCCGTCAAACTGGAAAACAAACATGGGAAGAACATTTCTTGAGTAATGTAATTATGTTAACCTTTGCAGAAGGAAAAACATACTGTTTTTGATTTGTTTCTGTTTCTCTTTCTTCTTCTTCTTCTGAAAACACAAAAGGTCAATGACCTGGACCAAGCAGCTGTAACTGGTGCTGTAGCAGACACCCTGTGGTGTTGGATTACATTATGTAGCAAGTTGCAGGACAGAGCTGGAGGGGCTGTTTACCATTTACTAGTATACATTTGTATGAATGACTGTTTTAATTAAGAATAAACAGAGCAGTAGTTTGTTAGGCTAGACCATGTGAAGGATCTGATTTGCAAATGTTACCTTCCTTGAAATATTATGAAATTGCCTGTAGTCGTACCTGTAAAGAGTACATGTAGATTGACTTATCTGATTATTCACTACGGACTCCAAGAAGCGTAGTGTGCAATTCACATTAATGGAGATCCTAAACAAACAAACAAACAAACCTGTAAAGAGTAGACCCTATTGGTGTGTCCCTGTAGCGTGTGGAGGCACTCCTCGGTCTCCGGGTTCCACACCTTCACCATGTAGTCGTACGCGCCGCTGACCACGCGCCTCCCGTCGTACTGCACGCACCGCACGGCCGCCACGTGCCCCATCAACACGTGCTGACACGCGCCAGACTCCACGTCCCATATCCGTAACGTCGCGTCTCTCGAACCGCTAACAACCCTGAAGACGTGGAAACAAAACAGTTAACAATTATATGAGACCTAGGGGAAAACAGTTTTGAGAGATCTAGAGGAGATGGGGCTCATTTGGGAGGGAGAGAGGAGGCAAGCGCTGGACAGAAGAGAGTGGAAAGCAGTGGTGGCCTGCATTGTAGATAGATGTGAGTGGCAGCAATGACATGATTAACGTCCCTGGTAGGAGTACACCTTCTCAGCACTTTTCTCGACATGATTATTTAAAACAAGCGAAATCTTTGATGACAGTGTTCAAGCCAGCATCTGTCTTTCACTGTTTCAGCCACTTGCCAAAGATTTTGCTCGTCAGCTTTGATGGACAAAAATCGGCATGTAAAGGTATGCAAAAAAGGCACGAGGTTGACCAAGGAAAAGACGGATCAACAACATAACAATAAGGGAGGACTTCCACCACCTCAATGTACACAGCATGAATCCACAGGACAGAGGCAAATGGCGGGCTGCTGACAAGCATGTCTAACCTACAGATGATACATCGGATACTGAGTGAGTGAGTACTTACTGGTTTTTATGCAGGTGCATGCACCTGACAGTTGAGGTATGTCCGTACAGCGTGTGGATGCACTGTCCCGTGTCTGCGTTCCACACCTTCAGCGTTCGGTCTGTGGACCCGCTGATCACGATATTGTACTTCATCTGAGAACACCACACGCCGCCCGTGTGCCCTACCAACGTTTTTAAACACTGGGGGGAGAAGAAATCATACATCTTTAGTACAGTAGTAGTAGTAGGAGTAGTAGTAGTAGTAGTTGTAGTAGTAGTAGACCATCTGAGAACACCACACACCTCCCGTGTGCCCTACCAATGTTTTTAAACACTGGGGGAAAAACAAATCAGAGATTTTATTTATTTCATTCACAATTATTTTGGGAAGATCGTGCAAAAAGTATGCATTGGAGGCCCTCTCTTCTCCACACATATAGATGAAAGTAACAACAAAAAACAAAAACAAGGTACCAACAACAATGAAGACATGTTTTTTGACTTCTGGGAAGTTTTTTGGTTTTTCAATGAATGTATTGGAACTGCAGAGGGATGTGATGTCAATGCATATCACACCATTGAATTACTACAAATACATGTACTTGCCATATATATACTCCCCTTAAGTCTTTTGCCCTATAAAATTTGAGTGATGACTTTGTATATGCCTCATGCACAGACAGTCCACTATGTTACAAGTGTCTTAGCTTTTAAAAACACCATAAAATGCCATACCTTGCCATTTAGAACAGACCAGACTTTTAGCGTGTTGTCGTCAGACCCACTGACCACTCGATGACCCTCGAACTGAAGACATGTGATCACGTGGTCATCATGGCCCTTTAGCACCTGGAAATAGCAAAAGAAATAACAGAATGTTACCAAATCTAATCAGCATTGACATAGAAGCAGTAATAAATGATAAACAGAGGCTTAAACATAGAGAGGGTGTACATCTTGCATTCAGTATGTTGTGAGTTTGATCCCCGGCCAAGTCATACCAAAAAGTGGTACATACTGCTTTCTCTGCTTAGAACTCAGAAATTGCAAAAGAGTATGGGAGTTCAACACACACCACTACCAGTGGACTAGCTGCCTCAGGCCTCGAAATTAACTTTTTTTACTATTGTCCCAGAATTGTCCCAAACATACATTTCAATTGTCCCGAACTGAGGATGGACTGTCTCATCCTGCTTTTCAGGAAATAAGTTTATGACAACAATAAGAAAACAACGACAACTGAATTTGTCCACTTTATTTGTTAGTGTCATATGAGCGGCACCATCTTCGAGGCCCCCATCTCCAACTTTTGGAATCCCTGATTGGTCAAATTTAAATGTTTGTCATAGTATTATGGGCTGCCAGCGGCCCCCAGCAAGATGGCTGGATCACGTTCCTAAATGACGTGGACAGTCTCAGAATTTTCCAATTGTCCCAAAATTGTCCCGAAACATAATTTGAATTGTCCCGAGCTGAAAATTTAGTGTCATTTGACACTGGGACAATGTTAATTTCGAGCCCTGTGCCTGCTGTAGTGGCCTGTGTGTATAGGAGTTGAGAGTATGAGAGTTGAACACACACCACTACCATTGGACTAGCCCCCTGCTGTAGTGATTGCACAACTGTGTGGATTGCACAAGGGCTACAGAATATGTATGAAGAAACCCCACCTTTGGTGTTCTGACCTCCCCCGCCCTCCAGTTGGTCGATCTGCTGTTGCCTGAGGTAGGCACCCTTCCATGGGTTCCGTAGTAACAAACAAACAAACAAACAAGCAGACCCACCTTTGGCGTTCTGACCTCGCCCGCCCTCCAGTTGAAGTCTATCTGCTGTTGCCTGAGGTAGGCTCCCTTCCATGGGTTCCGTAGTAACAAACAAACAAACAAACAAACAAGCAGACCCACCTTTGGCGTTCTGACCTCGCCTGCCCTCCAGTTGAAGTCTATCTGCTGTTGCCTGAGGTAGGCGCCCTTCCACGGATTTCTGACAACGGTAGATGGCGATCGTCTTCGTGGAGTCTTTCCTCCGTAGTGGGGCTTGTCGATGCCGGCCTCGCGACACTTCTCCCTCCACAGTAAGGTGTCCTCAGCCAGCGTCTGCCAGTACTTACACGTCTGGGCAGCCTGCAGGAGGTCTTTGGGGTCCAGGAAGGATAGGACGTACAGGGCCAGCTGGAAGGAACAGCAAGTGTTGTTAACACCAAACAAGTAATCAGAACTTTCAGACATCTGGGAAGTGTTTTAGACTTTTGTGAATGTATTGGCTCTGTTTTACCTCCATGTCACCTCTCCATTTCAGAAAAACATTATTTTGAAGACATTCCTGTAGTGTGCATCACAGGGCTGGAAATATGCAGGTTAGTGCAGGTAAAACTGGAGCTGTGCAGATATTTCTGATGTTTACCTGCACCTAACCTGCACTGGTCTTTGCATGCATAGTGTCTGTGGATTTTTATTTGCTGCTTTGACTGTTACCACATATGAAGTATAAAAAAATAGTAGCAATGGTTTCTGAACAGTTTTTAGTATGATCCAGGATTTTAAGACCATCACTAGGTCTGGAAGTAGGCTGTAAACTTACCTCCTTTGGCAGCAGAGAGATGAAGTCCCTCTGGAACTGTGGTTCGATGACAGCCATGACATGTTTGATCTGGGTGGGCTCACATCTGTCGATCAGCTCATCCAGGGCCAGCAGTCGCTCTGGGCCACTCCAGCTCTGTAATACACAGTAGGACATTGTCAGTTATGGTAGGTATAACATGAGCACCCCTAGCAGAACACAAGGGAACTGCAGCGGCCATGACATGTTTGATCTGGGTTGGCTCACATCTGTCTATCAGCTCATCCAGGGCCAGGAGCCGCTCAGGGCCACTCCAGCTCTGTAAAACACAATATGGCATCATTAGTTATGGTAGGGATAACATGAGCACCCCTAGCAGGACACAAGGGAACTGCAGCAGCCATGACATGTTTGATCTGTGTGGGCTCACATCTGTCTATCAGCTCATCCAGGGCCAGCAGTCGCTCAGGGCCACTCCAGCTCTGTAATACACAGAGGGTTTATCAATCAAGAGCGCTCCTAGCAGGACACAAGGGAACTGCAGCCTGGAATTTAGTGGAAATGTATAAGCTAGGAGAGAGTGAGTGAGTAGACAACTGTAGGATTCCCTAACACCAACCACTGCTATAAAAAGGGGGTATGGTATATGGTAGGGATATCAAGAGTGCTCCTAGCAAGACACAAGGGAACTGCAGCCGTAGTTTGTACATACTGTTGGGAAAGGACCTTTACATCTATTCTTTTATAGCTTCACTTAGGGACCTTCTCTCAGATGGGACATAAAGCCAGAAGTCCCACGTTCAAAGAGAGCCACACCTTGAGCATGTTTTAAATTTGCACTTATCAAAAAGAGTAGGTGTCCTTCCCAAGTGAGTGGTTCAAACCTTACCGTCTGGTCTCAGGGTTAACATCTTTCAAAGGTTTGAACCACTCACACAGGGATATATAGACAGTTAACTGTTATGTCAATCCTTCCACAATATGTGGTACATCTTGATAAACAAACAAACATGTCCTGACCTGGAATGTCTGTAGCCAGTCCTGGAGGTTGGGAGGTGGCTCCACACCCGTGATTCGCCGGCGCGGCACCTGTGTGCTACTCGGCGCCCTGACGTCACCAAACGTGTGCGCTGAGCCATGGATGTTCAGCAGGCTGGGGTAGCTGCAACTGGACACAGCATACTTAGTGTTACTATACGTGCATTTACACATGTAATTTCATGGTGGCAAAGACTGGAGTTGTACAGTTGAAAATTTGGGTAATTCCTGAGCCATGGATGTTCAGCAAACTGGGATAGCTGCAACATAAAATGTGTTACTGGTGTAACAGTGGGGGGTTCATAGGCGCTACCAACTGACCCGGCCGACGGGTCTAGACCTTTTAGCCGAATCGTTAGAGTGTCGGCATGTGGACTGGTGCCTAAGTTTGGTCGTGGGTTTGAACCCCAGCCTGGGACCAGGGGTGTCTTTCTGTTTCTACTCTCCTAATTCTTACTCTGGATTTACTGCATTTACATGTAATTTCATGGTGACAAAGACTGGAGTTATACAGTTGAAAATTTGGTCCAATTTCTTGTCTTGGAAATTTCAAGAAAGACGGACACATTTACTGTGGCATTAATTTGCAGTGAAGAGGTCACCTCGAAAATACAACCACCATGTTTCTCCATTTACTTAACCTATTTATACAGTAACAGGTCTATGGCCCTTCAAGTATATGTACATCAGGAAATATAATAAATTTGACACATATTGAACAGGAAATAATTAGTTTGGGTTGACTTCCTGGATCATATTTGCTAAACACTTGCATGATATTTGCTCAAGCTCCACCAGATTTTACAAATTCTTATATTGTGGCAGTGGCACTGTTAGCACAGTTAATGTATAAAATTCTTTATTTTATTTATTTATTGAAAATGCAACAAGACATTACACTGACTCTCAAGGCAGCAAAGCTGATGTTAGAGAGTCAACACATAGGGACAAAACATATAGGGCACATAATATCAACAGTGTGAAATTACAAAAAAAAATGATGATAAGAACCTATATCATTCCAATTAGCCGAGTAAATATATGTACACATCTAAAATAACACATTTGGAGGTCAGAGGTCGATAAAATAAGTCACAGTCAGACTACCTTATATGAGAAAAAAAAAGGATACTAAATAACAAGGTTAGAAAGGAACAGCTGGAAGTGCCTAGAAACGGTTTGTTGAAGTGATGTAAGTGTAAAATTCTTCAATGAATGGCAACAGTAACACTAACAGTACCATAAGTGTTAAATGTCTGCCATATGTTCACAAATATTTTTCATATCATATTATTATTAGGGCAGAGACTGCAATCTGGTAGAATTCACGATTCAACTGGTAGAGATCACTATCAGATTCTCTGTCTACAGATTGCGATCTCTAACAGTAGAATCACCGATTCTGCCATATCATCACGATCTATATATATATAAAGTACTATAACCTGCCAAATACATCAATAGCTAGACTGTTGATAGACTGAGCAAATACATGTACAATGACATCAATGTTAGTTTGTTGTGTTAGCTTATCAAACAATAGCCACAGTCACTCTTGTATTTGAACCTTGTCACATTAACAATGGCATCAGGGATTGCCAGTCACAATAGTCTGAATATCAACAGTGACGTCTTTAGTACCCAAGGCACTTATATAAGTTAAAATAATCTGTAATATAATCTTGTTCTTATCTTTCCCAGACTGTGACAGGTCTAAAACTCATGACTTTAAAATCTCCGATCCCTTTGAAGCGTGCGTGGGTGGTGTTATCGCTAGCTGCATACATGCGATTTCATTCATATGAAGGACGGACAAGAGAAGAGACCTGCTCTTTCACACTTCAAAACACCCAGCTTTAGATGTATTAGTACTCCCACTGCCTCTTAACAACATAAAAGCTGTGAGTGGGCAGGACATGTTTGAAGCAGACGGGTTACAAATGTCATATGGATCTCTAGAATGTGCGTCAATATTTCTTTTACAATCCTTTATCAGTTTTACAAAAGATAGGAGTAATTCTTAGAATTATATTTTTTTAATTTCTGCAGCTTATGATTTTATAAAAGTCAAGGACCTCAAAAGACGTGTCACAAGTTGTCATAAAAGCATCAACTATGAATGAGTATCAAGTGAGTACAATTCAGTGTCAATGCACTTTTAAAATAATTTAGGTAAGTTGAAACAGCTAAAAAATGAGTCCCCATATAAGGTTAAAGGGAGCATGTCAGCAGAATGCACTGCGCCTGCGCAAAACCCTGATTTTTCATTTTTGCTGTATGTTTGGTCTGATCGAACGTTGCATCAGAATTTTGCCTGTTGCAGTTTTGGACACTAAAGATGGGATGTTAACCTTATATACGCGAATACGACCTTATATGAGACGTTCTGCCAGTGCTATGCATAACACATTACAGGTTTCGCGCAGGTGCAGTACGTTCTGCCGGCGTGCATCCAGTGCAGTTTTTAGGGCTTGGAGACCCGATTTTTCAAAGTCACTATTCTAAGTTAAAACCACACTACCCCAATGTATATTGACCCTCTTGGAGCAAAAATACCCCAAATCCTGACGGAAAAGGGATGATTTTTAGGGTACCACCCAGAAAATAAAGGACCCATCTTGCTTGTTTCTGCAGTTTTAAATGTCCAAAGTATGAAATACTGATTGAACTGTGATAATGTGGGGCAGTATGACTGTCAATATGATAAAGATTGCCATATTCACATCAGAATATTTCCAGTTTTGCTGCTCTGAAATCGCGTTGGATGCCTTTAAAGGGGAACATTGTTAGACAGAACCACCTGACATTCCGACATGCTGCACCTGTTTGCATAGCGCATGACTAATTTAGACTTTGGTCTGTAATGTTACGCTATATATAAATATATGCCAGCTGGGTTCCTGTTTTACAGACTGAAATCCAATATTTGCATGCTAATTAATCATAGCGAAATGCTAAAAATGGCATAGTACTGTCTCCAATTAGAAACTGTTTAAACTTTATGACGGGCTAAAATTTCATTTTAACAAGCAACAATTTAAGGTACAGGTATAATGTAGGGCATATACACGTAATTATACATCTTTGTAATCACATTTGAAGTATTAAGTGTAGTGCTGTTTATAGAGATAAAATTACATGTACTGTCTCCAATTAGAAACTGTTTAAACTTTATGACAGACTAAAATCTAATTTTAATGAGCAACAATTTGAGTATAGAGTATGGTGTATTACATGTACATATCTTTGTAATTCCATTTTAAGAGGTTCAGAGTAGTGCTGTTTATCATGATAAAAATATATGTACATGTATGTCGTTTGCTGCTGTGAAATATAAACAAGTGGGAGGATATATACAATGCTTATCCCTATAGGTGTATATATACTTACATTTTCAACTGGGAATCGAAACACACGTGGAATGTATGATACGTAATTCCATAGGCTATACTGGTATCTCTAGTAGATGTGAATGTTATGAATGTGTTATGTGACGTTTGATTTTATGACTACAGCTTGCATTCTTGATATACAAACATGGTAGGACAAAAAGCAGTTACTCAAGCAACTGGATATGATTTTGGAAATGGTCAGACGTTTCAGGTAGCATCCACTACCTTTCGTCAGTGACACTAGAGACATTATGTTTACAGTTTATATATACTTTCTAGAGACATGGCGTATACAGTTTTATACGATTTTTTTTTTATGACAAATATGACACTAAAAGCCAGTGTTAAGGAAATAGTGATTATGTTATAAAAGAAAGGAAAACGAAAACACACAAAGTATTTTAAGTCTTCTTTTCAGTAATCTCACCTGGGTATTTCTGCCACTCGACACGGCTTCTTTCCAGGGGAGAGCCCTCGCAAGTCAGGACCGGATTCAGATTTCCGCTTCATCTGAAAATACAGGAAAAAGGGGATTTAATAACCTTACCACTGACAGTAATTATTTTCTTTTTTTTTTCTGTCTCTTTACATTGTTATACTCGATCGAGTGTTGAAAAGTAAGACATCCTCTGTGCGTCGATGAAGGTTAGACATCCAGGAAAAAAGATGCACCAAAACAGTTACTCAAGCAACTGGATATATGATTTTTGACCGTTTCCAAGATCATATCCAGTTGCTTGAGTAACTGTTTTCGGCATTAGACATCAGTGTTTATGCTGATGTGACACTGAAGTACAAGGTAACGTCGGTGAAGGTTAGACATCCAGGTAATAGGGTAGGCCAAAAAATAGTTACTCAAGCAACTAGATATGATTTTGGAAATTCCAAAATCATAAAATTCTATTATCCAGATGCTTGAGTAACTGTTTTTTGCAGTACGAGATTGTCCTTACATTCACCCTGTTGTCCATGGGACAAGAGCAGCTATTGTACCTATGTGTTATACCTGGACTTCAGCCCCAAACACAAACACCTACACGTACACCGTACCGGCCTCAACAGCTAGCAGCTGTTTGCTCCTGCTTCACAGGCACGCGGTGCAGCGGCAGCCCTGGCTACATTACACCGATGGACTTGTGACACCTAACCCTTGAACATCTAACTCTAGACATTGTTTAAAGCTATCTAATGACAATGCCCCTACTGTGCTTGGTGACAGATAGTTCCACTCTGCGATAGTTCTAGGAAAGAATGGATTCTTGAATACTTCAATCCTTGGTTGATAACTCTGGTATATGGGACAAGAGCAGCTATTGTACCTAAGTGTTACACCTGGACTTCAGCCCCAAACACAAACACCTACAGGACACACCGCGCCTCAACAGCTAGCAGCTGCTTCCCCCTACCATGTGACAAAGTTCACCTGGCTTAAACTGTTACTTACAGCTGTAGCTTGATACATTGTAACACATCAATGCAATTTCAGGGTGGCAAAACGAAATAACACTCTGGATGAGGAAATCTATGTAATATTGACAGTAACTGCAACTTTTCAGCTGTTTCCTGCTGCCATGTGACAAAGTTCACCTGGCTTAAACTGTTACAGCTGTGAATCGGCAACACACGGTTTGCAACATCACATGGCCTTACTAACTGGTTGCTTTTCCTATCTTCAATTTGCAACCTCTGCAAAAATATGTAGCTTCATGTTCATAACTCAAGACCTTGTGGTAAGGTATTTTGTAATTCAAAATAATAAGTTCACCTGGCTTAAGGTAAACTGTTGCAGCTGAAATTGGTTACACACGGTGTTACAGGCATCCAATATTAATGCAATTTCAGAGTGGCAAAACAAAACAATATTCTGGATGAGGAAATCTGCCTGATATTGGCATTTACTGTCATTTCTTAGCACATTTTCGTCATCATTTAATACTTGTAGCATTTGAATTAGCCCCAAATAAGCTACTTAAGGCACCATCCTTTTTTTGGCACCATCCTATAATAGCTAGAACCAGCCTTTGATACAAAACAAGCAGTAGTTTACAAAATTGGTTGAATAAACAAAAATCAGACAATACCTTTAAGTACACGTATTAATAACACAAAACAATAATATACTTCCTCTTTAACATTCATACACAAAGCTTTGATCTAAATCACTACAAGTCTAAGTCATCAGGAGGTACATGTATCATAGAATTTTATGAGATAAACCAGCATTAAAATATCATCGTAAAGAACAGCCTATAACCAAACCTGTAGCGAGGGATTGACATAGTGCGAAGCCTTAATGTTTTCGCCCAGTGAGGTATCAAATAGCACGGTTGCTGGCACCATAAGGGCCAGTTCTCCCATGCAGCGGCTAAAATACCTCGTGTTGCCAGCCGGTGCCACAACCCCTGACCTATTAATAGCTCCTGTATGGCAACAGTGGCTGGGAAGGCGAAGGCCTGCCAGTTTAAAGGACACACGGGCCAGGGCTGGTTCATTTGTGGGTGTCAGTTGGTATATGGTCACCAATTGTTTACATACATGTGTTAATATAAGCAGCATTTTGAAACATTTTTTTTGCATACCTGTACCTGTACTGGACTGTGATTTTGGACAAGTTGTTACTATTATATCAGATATTTGTTAATATATTTTGTATTTATCTATTTTGTACATTACATGAATACATCGCAGTACATTTGTATGTATTCTCATATTAAAACATAGTTTATGTTTCATACACATTTATACAGTATAAATTCTTGGTGACCTCACACCACATCTTATCGCCCAGGGCATACCAGGTCACAACCCTGTCAATCAACTGAAACCTAATCTCCAGCCATCCTCAATTCTAGCTGCTCAGGACAAGATACATACAAACTTCCCATTAGCAACTGCCGCCCAAAACAATACTTTCATCCCAGAAGCAATCAACACATAAAATCCAAAAACCCAGGGCATACCGAATCACAACCCTGTCAATCAACTGGAACCCAATCCCAACCCACTCCCAATTTTGGCTACTCAGCACATACAAACTTACTATTAATGACTGCCGCCCAAAACAATACTTCCATCCCACAAGTACCCAACACGAATGCATAAACACCCATCTTTTCACATACATGCACCACAATGCTATAAAAAGGTGAGCTGAGGTCCCCCTTTGACATATTACATGGGCGCAGAAGGTTATCACACAGGCAGTCCTACAAATATTACTGACAGACGCTTCTTTCATAAATGCTGCATCGCATAATATCAACAAGGTTCGCGTTTCGCCAGCGGCGTTTCTTGTTACTTGTACCAGAGATGGATTTCTTTTAATGGAATTGAACTCCCCCAGGTGAAATATACATGATGGGGAAAATCTGCGATGCCTCTTGGTTGGAAATGGCGGGCTCCGAATGCCCGATCCTATCGGAGAAAACGCTTTGATGATTTATTTAAGACAGGAAACAAGGTGTACAGACAGTTCTGCCGCTTTATCTGACACAGACCACATGGGGATGGACAAGAATGAGGATTTTCTTTAAATGTCAACCTACATGTATAAGCTGACACTAGTCATTTGTTTTGCAAACAAATACTTTCCTCATAACAAAGCAAGTTATAACTTTAAGATTAATAAAATAAACTGTAATTTCCAACACAAGAAATTTTACCCAAAATTTGGGTTAGTCAAATTTCTTTTGTTGCAAATTACAGTTTATACTTGCTTCATAATGACTTCTACCAACACAGATAAACTTTGAAGATAAAATGCTTTCATAATTCTGATGCTATAATTCAACACTGTGTGTATATGTGACTGAGTGGGAGTAACTATCTTTTTGTTGCAATAAAATCTTCAGCATTATAATATCATAACTGAAAAGATATGACTATACAAAAACAAGTCGGGAATACAAAATACACACTATGATAAGTACATGTGTATGGATAGACTGTAGTACCATAGGCATTGGTTATGATGGCAGGATTCTGAAAATGGTGCCGCCAGTCTTTAAGCTATTTGTCTTGCTCTGTGCGGAAGATGTATTTTAAGCTTTATGAAAAGGGTTTTTGTAGAGCGATAGATTTTGAATTTTGATAATTTGAGAAACGATTCAATATATTATCATTAGCTTCAAGTGCACAATTGAAAAAGATTGATATATATCAGGGATCTCCCCCAGAAATTTATGACAGAATGGAGGAAGGTGCGAAGCACCCTAAATGATGGTAAAATATCGGTAAATTTGACAGAAGAACCCTGGAAAAGGGGTGTAAAAAGCCTAATTTTGAAAATTAACAGGACGGAGCTGAGATAAGGACTGGGTGGAGCAGCTCCACTGCTCCATTGTTTAGGGAGGTCCCTGTATATATAAGAGTGAGTTCAGTAGATTTTATGCGCACTTTGGCTTAAATATTCAAAATTTGCAGAGGCTTTTATAAAGGAGAAAGAGATAAAATGGCAAAATTTTAGGCTATTTACTGAAATTATTTTTTTTTAAATTATGGTATTACAAACGTCAATTGGTTTTTGATACACGACTATTTTTAGTACATAAACCTATTTACCGAAGACATTAAGAAGAGTTATTATCTATTATCAGCAAATACATCTTTATGATGATTAATCACAATACGAAAATATGTTTATCTTGTTCATCTATAAATGATAGTGGTGTCAATGATGGTTAGACATCCAGGTAATGAGATACACAAGAAAAAAGTTACTCAAGCAACTCAAAATTTATCCAGCTGCTTGAGTACCTATGTTCTTGTATATACCGGTGTCCTTACCATGACTCTATGTTCCATGTGCATGCATGGAGAGATATAACCTGTCAGTGAGTTGATGGATTGCCCAGTGCTGTGTTCTGGAAGTGCTGTATGTAAAACCCTGGCTGTTATCTACAGTCTCTGCTGTGGATAGTGAAAGGCCCATACTTCTTAATACGTGTGCCAAGGCTTGAAATTCATTTTTGGGAATAGGTGCACTGGTGCACCCAACCTAAAAAATTGGTTGCTCAAAAAAATTTTGGGGTGCACCATGCAAGATGGTAGAATGTCAGCAAAAACTAATTATATTTCATTTCTACACAAAAGTACTATAAGAATAATTTATTATTTTTTGACACTTTGATATTAAGAATATGCTGTATACATTTAACATCTTTACATATGCTAAACATAAGAAAACATTTGGGTGCACTGTTGCACATACAGAAAACAAATTGGGTGCACAGCTCCAAATTTGGGTGCACTAAGGTGCACATGCACCCAGTATTTCCAGCCCTGTTTCTTAATACAGCATGCTCATATCTGTGCTCGCATGGTTAAGTCTCTGGATTTAGTTTTTATATGAAGAAAGTATTACCCCGGAAAGAATGACATTTCCAAATGGATCAGTTTTCTGAAAGGATTCCTGGTAAGACAAATAAAAGGAATTCAAATATCATTTATTATATAAGTAGTATGCATAGAGACTGATTGTAATTTCTGTGACTGCTAACCCACCCGAAGGC